TTGCTTAAACTGTCTGTGCCCACATTTCCTCCCATCACCAAAGCACAAGTTGCACAAATGGCAAAAGCCATTCATCATTAGCAAAGGATAGCCACAACTGCTTTTGGTCTGCAGCTGTTGACAAGTTGTTTAGAAATTTGATTTTTAAACTGATAATAGGAAAAAAAGAAGCCTAGCCCTTTGGAAAAAGTAGTAGTGTGTGTCCATGCAATTAAAGACTGTCATAATATCTACGCACCAGAAATCAGCACTGAAACTGTATTGGAAACTAATTCTGATACTTTCTAACTTTTGGTTAACTTCATCATATTAACCTTTTTAACTTAGGCTTTTGGGTGCAATTTGGCTTCTAAAGCATGATAGTTCAATGAGACAAGATAAATGATTAGAAGGTAGATTAACCCTCGTGCACAAAGATTTACTCCAAACACTCATGGGGTTGGGTTATGAAGAAATGTCTTATATATATATATAGGTTATATTACAGTTGTCTATAACAGGATTATTGTGCTTAAATACCTGAAACATGACATGTACTTATTTAATAAATTATGGCATTTTTTGTGTGATGGTCTTATTTTAGCACATATAATGGCATATTCAGGTTTACTCATAATGGCACTCCATATGAGTTGAGCAGTAGCAGGGAGATCAGCAATAGTATTGAAGCAGTGTAGCATTGAGAGGTGTGTAGGACCTATAAGTTACTTCAGGATAGGAAGTAAATTGGCACAACACTCAGTGGGTGCATCTAGAGATGCATATTTATGCCTGTGAATAAACTCCGGAGCTTATCGCTTTGGAGTTTATTGCTTCCAGGTGCATGTCTTTGTTGACTTGACACACGCCAGATCAACACATGGGATCTCAATATTGTGCTGTTAGACAGGAGGGTATGATACAGAATTATATATACACACACAAGCTACACATATGACACTATGGGTTCACACACACATTCACATGCACTTTGGTGGTGGCTGTGTGTCTTAAAACTAGGGGGCACTTGGGGTTACTTGGGGTCACTTGGTGCCGGGGTTACTTGGATCACTTGGCCCCAGGGTTACTCGGGGTCACCTGGTGTTGGGGTGGAAGCGAGGGGAAAAAGCCAGGGTTGGAGACAGCAGAGCAGGTGGTAGAGCTGGGGGAGGAAACCCAGGCAGCACCAAGGAGGAACAGTGGAGCAAGAGGTAAAGGGGTGGTGGGGCAGAAGTGGTGGTAAAAGTCAGAGTTTAGAGGAGAGCAGAGCTGGGGTTTTGGAGGTGGCAGAGAGGGAGCCAAGATGGCAGAGAGAGAGAGAGAAAGAGAGAACGAAGGTTAGAGGGGCAGAGAGCAGAGATTGGAGCAGGGCCAGGAGGTCAGTAAGACAAAAACCCAACTCAGGGTTTGTAAATAACTGTTTTATTAAACAGGCCACACACTACACAGCCCCACAAAGTTATTGGTTCCCACACACATGCACAAACGTTCATGCTTCCCACCCCCGTACAATGGTAGCAGAAAAGAAAAGGATTAATAGAAGGATTTGAGGTCCAAGTATGTAGAGCAAGAGTTCAGGTCCCTTGCTTGGAGGAAGAAGGTGGGTGATAGCTACCTATTCCCAGCCTGAGAATCGATCCTTGATGGCCAGTCAGGGTCGTCTTTAGCAAGGTGTTGTCCAGAGGCGGGGTCGCTGGCAGGGCCTCTGGGTGGATAGGTGGCATGGCGTAGTGCTGGTCCAGATGGAGAGGGTGTCCCAAGGAGGTCACACTTTACCACCCCTAGGGGTGGGCTACCTGTGTCTCCTGTGGGAAGTACGTTCCCAGGCAAGGGCTAGTCCTGCTCAGATGCATACATGGAGATCCAGGTGTCCTCAATGTCTGGTGGGACACAATGGTGGGGTTGCTGGTTTCTGTAGGGTCTTTGTCTTCCAAATGTTTGGTTCCTGTAGGTTCTTTATGTTTCAAATGCTGGGTTTTGTCTCTGTTCCTGGGTGAGGTCTGTGGTTCCTGGGTGAGTCAATGCAAAGCAGTAGTCGGGTCATTGAGTTGATGGTCCGGTTGTTACTGGTCATTCAGTAGAGGCCTGCTACCATTATGCCTCAAGCACCCTCATTCATTCCCATTCATTCAGGAACCAATTCACATAGGAGGGGTAGGTATGAGTCACCGTTGCAACATACTATACAACAGGGCATGCCCTATTGTATAGGGCAGGGGACACAAGATGGAGGCTTGACATTACAAAATGGAAACTTGACATTACTTGAAATTACTTTGGTTAACTTTACAGACACAGGCCTAAACTATACAATATTAATATGAAACCATAAAAATCGATGCAGAAATGATAGGAATACAATATAATACAATATAAAACAATAA